CTGAAAAGAGTCCCTCGTGTGGTCTTCGGTCGGCGTCGCTGGCCTTTGTATGGAGCGGGGCCACTGCAGACTGGATTGGTTAGCTGACACGGCAATGGTTGCAGCATTCATAGTGTGGCTTCGTGACGGGCTACGGCTGGACCTCGCCTTTGGCATCCCTGTTTTGTTCTCTTTATTCATCGACATATTCTTCTACTGTATTACTTTATTTTTTCCTCATCTCTTGGACAGACAGGATGCCTTGTGTCACGTGCAACAGATATGATGGGTCTTGTATATAATAATTGTCTTTACACTACACTATACTATACTATTTAGAATACGTCATACATTATACATTCATCCATTCTATGACACTTCCATAGTAAACCCCAATTGATTTACAACCACAAGCGCAGTGTAGACTACCAATGACCCACGCCGCCCGATCTTAATCGCTGATTGCTGCACATCCATCACTAGTCGCCGATCAGTCTCACTCATCCGACCCGCTCCACCCAATCAATCCCCTCACCCTATCCCAATCAGGCAATTCAGCTCTGCAGTTCAAATCTCAGCCGCATTCCAAACCCACAATCCCCCCAGCTTATAATAATGCCTCCCAGCCCCCACGCTCGCATTCTTTTAATCTTCCCATCCTCCCCCTCTCCGGAATTAAAATCAGAAAACCGGTAAAAAAAAAAAAAAATGCCACAATGGATCCCCCCGGCCCAATTCCTCGCTATCCAGCTCCTAACCGGCACCACTGTCGCCTTCACCCCGGCTAGTTCTCCCCTCCGATCAATCGCCTCCCTTCTCGTACTCGTCCTCGCCTACTGCATGCAAATTAGCGCAAATTCCCACCTCCATGGCACCCGCTTCGGCGCCCCGCTCGTCGCAATGTGCTGGATGAACGTTCTCAACGGGATTGATTTGCTAGTCCTTACGCGCGCAGACTACGATAAACAGCTAGCGTACAACAACACAAAGCTGAAGCAAACATCCGACAAATCACCAAATAAACCGCAAAGCAAATCCCTCCTCAAAAAATACCTCTGGTCCCTAAACCTCTCCTTTAACTACCGCCGCATCAACACCCCCTGGCAAATCCGCGCTCTCACCACGTTTGACAAGATCCCAACTCGGACTCAATTCCTCCTCACCTCCCTACTCAAACTCACCATCTCTATCGCAATCATCCAGCTCCTCACCCTCGAGACCACCGATCCATATCTCGGCCGCGCAGTGGATAAATTACCCGTTCGACCGGACGAAATTCTCCTCCCGTTCTGGTATCATAGTGGCTGGGGCAAAGATGACCTCGTGCTTAGATTCCTCTTCACTCTCTCGTTTGGAATCGTGGCGCGTGCGTTCATTGTCGCGGGATATACCTCTGCCGCGGTGGTGGCTGTAGCATTGGGCCAAGAGCCGAGTATGTGGCCGCCTGTCGGGGGTGGCTTGCTGGATGCATGGTCGATTAGGAGGTTCTGGGGGTATGCGAACAGGTCCCTCCCTTTCATTCTTCAGACCGTATACTAATGAAGTATGCAATGCTACAGAAAAACATGGCACCAAACCCTCCGCCAACTCCTCTGCTCGAACGCCGATTTCGTCTCGGGATCTATCCTGCGTCTTCCGGTCCGATTCCAGTGGTGCTTCCGGGTGATTTTCGCGTTCGTTGTTTCAGGTTTAGTGCATACGGGCATGGATGTAGGGTTTGGGGTGCGGATTGATGAAAGCGGGTCGCTGTGGTTCTTCGCGTTACAGATTCTGGGTGTGGCGGGGGAGATGCTTGCTGAGATGTTGTTGGCTCCTGTGAGTGTGTTTGTGCCGAGAGGACTTAGACGTGGGGTTGGGTTTATTCGGGTAGCGGTTTTCATGATGTGGACTTTGCCGGTGTGGATTTATCCGATTTTGGTCCAGTTGTATGGAGATGGTGTGCGCATGATGAGTCCATTCTTGGGGTTTGGGGGATGGGATATTTGATTTGGTTTTGGATTGCATAGCGTTGGGGTTGGGTATTATTGTTATGTTAGATTATATTAGATTTATTAGATGTATAGTAGGGATACTAGTGGTGGATATAAACTATAATGCTGCGTCCCAGTCTACCCATGCGAATGTATTCAACAGGTCGAGATGGGGGTCTGCGCCTATAAGGTCCGGTAGCGCGTCTAGGGCTCTCGTCGGACTTTGTAGCGATGCCGGCATGCTGAGGATTCGGTCCAGTGAGCGTTGCAATATTCCCTTGATTTGCGCCTTGGCTGCGATATCGGATTCGGAGGGCCGGAGCCAGTCGAGAAAGGCGACCAGCACACTGAGGTTCTGGATGATGTCCGATCGGGGAAGATCTAAGGTGTATGTTTCGGGGGAGCTGGATTGCCGGAGAAGCTCGAGGCAGAGGATGCCGCTGCCTGGGACGGCGTAGGACATAGCCTGGCATGCTGGCTTAGTATGAAGTACATGTATTTATTGGGTATATGGTGGAGTATCATACCAGCCAGGAGAAATCAACGTGGTTCTCGAACCGGTCCTTGTGCTTCCAATATATCAGTGTTAATCCTACCATTTCATGGCTAACCTGGATCAGAGCTTGTTCGTCGACCACTCTGTGTCGGGTCAGAAGTCTCTCTAGGATGAACAGGTTGAGTAGAAAGTCCAGGCGCACAAGGACGCGCAAGGCGAGCAGCTGGCCGGGGATGTCGTGGTCGTGAATGTCTTCTGTCTTGAACTTGATGACCTCAGGAAACTGTGCACAGATGTCTGTAGCTTGTCCTTTGAGTTGACTGTTTGCTTGTCAGAAGTTATGGGTGATTAGGGGTGTATCTTGGGCTGAGGGCGTACAGGCATGTTTGTACTGCAGCGTCAGTGATGCTATCCTGAGAAGTCTCTAATACTTCTAGCATCTCTTCGCGGTTCCTTGCTAGCATTGCGCGCGCTCTTAGTATTGTGGTTGGATACGGTTGTCGATCCACACTGCTGTCCCAACCATCGGAGTTGAGCTTGGCTACGGCATTGCCAATCCTGTCGGAAAATATATCCTCGTCGTTGATGTCCAGGGGCAACTGAGTTGTCGAGTATTTTCTGTTCAGAAGCGGTGGTCTTCCGGTGAAGGTAGAGATAACCTTGTCGAAATTGTAAATCGATGCGTAGACGCGTCGTTTGAGTTCGTGCTGGAAAGAGACCTCCTTCCAGTCGGACGACAATTCCCGGTGAAGACCAATTGATGTTGTGACTGCAATCACATCGCCATGTTGTCGCCAACACGAAAGACCTGTTGATCAGCTGTGTGTTCTATGTGCAGCTATCCTAAGCAGGACTTACTCTTATCACCGCTGGCAATGCTCTCAAGGATGTTATGCTTGAATGCCAAGTTTACAAAGAGAATGTTGATAGCACCCAGCTGGCTACACAGCTCGATACACATGGATGCACATCGTTTAAAATGCACCATGAGTTCTTTGGGCCCCTTGAATGCATGTTGTCGACAGTACTGAGTAATGATATCGTGTTGCACGGGCAACTGTGAAGCCGCAGACGACCAAATGGTGAATAATGACCCTAGCAGCTCCCAACGCGTTCTCTTTCCCGAGAAAGACTCGATCCAGTGGTGTGGATTCTGTTCAGCCGGCAATGGCGTGAGACTGCACTCTGAAAACCGCCTCGCAACATATTGTAGGTGCTCGCTGTTTCGCAGCCGGAGCACGTCTCGATACTCATCCCACATCTTATCAGAAGCGATCCGATAAGCTGGCCGGAAGCAGGCATCCATTAAGGCCATTGGATGGACGAATAGCAAGTTGCAAGTTAGCTCATCCGGCAGGTTCTGTAGGATCTGGATCCCCAGTTGGAGCATTCTCGGTGTGATGGTAGGGTTCCCCGGCTGAGTGGAACTTAGCACCTTGACGCCATTGATGCCTTCGCTGGCTGGCATCCTCAGTGCTTGGTCTACTTGGAATCGATCCCGATGTTCCACGAACACGGATGCGAAACTCGTGGGCCCCAGGTACTCGGCTGAGCTTTCGAGTATCGGCGTGGTCGACTGTGCTCCAGGGCAGGTCTTGGTGCTTGGTGGCCCATCGCTCTCATTGCTCAAGGCAGTCGGCGACTCAGCCTCAGGCAGGCTTCTTGCTCTGTCTTTAGTGAGGGGATTTGCGAGATAGACGCATTTCAAGGACAGTCGCCGACAACGCTGGCAGGCGGGGGTTCCGTGGTCGCAGGCCAATTTGCGTCGGCGGCATGCCTCACAAGCAGGCTCTCGGCCATTCTTTCGCCTCAGAGCGGGCATGGAATAAATCGGAGTAATCGTGAGTTCCAACTGGGAACAGATACATGGTCATTTGTGAGGGTATTGTCAGATGTAGATAGTAGATGGCTGATGTGGATGCTGAGGACGGAATCGGCTTCGGCTTCGGCATGGATCGGACTCAAAAAGTGGGGCTACTCAACAGGAAAAGAGCAAAAAAGAATGACCAGACTGGGGCTCGATCCCAGGACCTTATCGGTGTTAACGATACGTGATAACCAACTACACCATCCGGCCATTACTTGAGAAACATTTTAACTATTAGCTTTATGTCCGGCTTTCTACTGACTATGCAACGGTCGCTAATAAAGCTCCTGGAATCGAGCTCGAGGCTTATATACAGTTATGACTCGCCATTCACCACTCCTGAGCTTATACTCGCATATCAAATGTAAGGAAGAGCATATTTTGGATGAGAACGGATTAATAATACCTACTCGTTATGGGCTAGTCTTTAGTATTTCTATCTGCTCGATGTGACGGATATATATATATTGTCCTCCGTCATCATCATGGTACTAGTATTGGAAATAAGAAGGTCTGAGATTATTATCAAAGTTTCATTGTATTCTAGTTCTGCATTGGGTACTTTTCGGTATCAAAATATGTCCGAACATTCGTCTATTCATGACGGACGGCTATCTCAACCCTGTAAATCGGTCATATATCATCAAGAACATGGCATAAGGCGTGTCATCATCAACATCCCCGAGGTCTAGTTATCGTCATGCTTCAACTCGACCGTAATAATCAGGGACAGAATGAAGGTCGTCAAAATGATCTACTCATGTTAGTAATATCCCCCGACATAAATGCAGCGAGTCACAACTCACCAACCCAATCAAAACACCAATACAGTTCAGCTCCCACCCCCCCGCATACACTGTCCCCAGAGCCACCACATTCTGCTGCTTCCAGAAGCGATATGCGCCCATGGCAGCTATCAGAATTGCCACGCTATAACAGCTAACCGCCAGGGGGACCCCCACTTCATAGAACCCCAATGCTGGATCCGGCGAAGCTAAATGCTGGAGTCGAAATAATTGGGCGATCAGCACACCTTGCATAGCGACCATGACTGATGTACGAATGTAAGCTAAGAAAGTTCGCTCTAAAGCTAAAAAGCAATGGGGGATGTCAGCAGCAGCCTTGCATTCCTTCTTCGTTATTGTTGGTGAATGGATGAGCTCGTGATTGCCTGGCGCCATAGCCACGTGCGATTGCGCCATTTTAGTGGCATCAATAGTCATTAAAGCATATATCGGATGGAGTAATATGCGAGGTATATATCAGAAAGCGAGGTGCCCACTCACCGAAATGATCCCGATTACTCTTCTGCGGCACCGTCAACACCACATTTCGCGTCCAGAAGCGACGGATTCGTCCCGTCAACCCCTTGCTTGTGTCCTCCCGGTTGGAATGAGTGGTGCGGGAAACGGTCCGATGTGTGCGGATACGATATTCGCCCGAGGAGATCGATTCGGTTGAGAAGCCGGCCTCATCGTCATCTTGGGTGGCTATATTGCGGAGCTCGAGGGCATCCAGGTCGTTATCAGTGCTTCTGGCGTCGTCGTCATCATCGTCGCGATGAGGTCGTTGAGCTGTGTGACAGGCAGCTGGTGGGGTGAGAATCTCCTCGCGACCGGTCGCTGCAGCGATCGCCTTGTCCGGTGCAGAAAAATGGTCCTGGCGATCAACCATGATGTACAGTAAGCTTCTTAGCTCTCACACAGGAAGCTGTGTGACATGCTGCTACTGCTGCTTCTGGGAGAAAAGGATGGGAAAAAGGAAAGGGTCGATGCGGTGAAGAGGCGTCACTGCTGGCTGGCAGGTTCCTTGGTTTGTTGGTCGGCGACTCCCCCCTGCTTCCCCGGCCGGCGCTTATCTGATTGGGTTCGGATACTCGGCAGTGGCAGAGCTTATTGCTCTTCCAAGTTTGTTGCTATCAAGGAATCGCCGATTGATCGATTTTACTCGCGAATTGACCTCGCCAGCGGGTATGACGTAATAGAATTGAAAGGACTATCTGCCTTGATTATATCCATTGAAATATAACTTCACGACAACGAGCAACTATCTCGACTAGAATCAAATCTATAAAATCCCTCTGACCATCACGCTAATTATCCCCTCATTCAACCCCGGACCCTAACTCCGCTAATGCTCCACCCAAGCTAGCACTGAGCAGTGAGCACACTATGCCGTGTTGATGCTCACCCACTCCTCCTGCTTATCGCCGAAAAACACCGATTCTGGCTTTGACACAATGTCAAACAGCGCTGCTTTCAGATACGCTTTACCCGGGACCTTTGGCGACAACGTGAATAGTGGGCTGTGTTCAAGCTGCATCAGTATATGGTTCTAGGAGCGAAGCAAAACCAACAACTGACCTTCCACAACTGGAGCAAAAATGACGCTACAAAGACGGATTAGCTCGGCACGCTTCAACTAGTGCCCTTAAATTGACGGGAACCCACCTGGACGATGTTCCCTGAAGAAGTGTTGGGATCGCTGTAGATCGTCATTGCCTGGCTGGGGTCTTCGATGGTCATGTCACTTTGATTGATGAAGTAGTTGATTGAGAAAGCTGATTGGGGTTAGTCCTGGGCGGCTACTGCGGGGTAGAGACGGAGAAGGAAGACATACAGCCTCCTCCAGCTTTCTTGCAGTTGATGCTGCAGAGTATGCAATCAGCTTAGATCCTCTATTAATGATTGATTGGTATGGGAGTATAAAATTACCAGTGGCAGGCTACACTCCTCTCCGGCTGTGCCGGCAGGGTGATGGAGACGCTGGTGCAGTTACAACGGCCGGTGTAGGGCATCGTTGAGGTGCTGTAGATGGATGTGGAAGATGGAGTGTGATGACTCGATTCGTGGCAGCTTGCCGGGATTTAAGAGGTCAATGTCAGGGGCAGGAGAAGTGGAGCATGGTCCATCCACATTTAAACCCACGTTATACACCAGCAATTCGGAGTTGAACCGATTTAAGGGAAGCCTCGACAAGAGGTCCTTCTCCACTCGAGTGGATCTCTATCCGATGATGGATTGATAATCAGCGTTTGCCGCCCGTTCCGTGGATGCCATATATGCCTGAGGCTGCAAATGATATATTGAACATCACCTAAGCCCGACTGTTGTACTTTTGCCAGGTGGATAATACTACCTTATCAATGCTCAAATGGAAAGAACAACAAAGTGGCGATATTGATACAAAAATTGAACGACTAGGAATAACTATATAACACTATAATAGCAGAGGTTGGGTATGTTTATTTTACCTCGGCAATGAGGTGCATACTAAGCCCACCATCTTCTTATTTGATAAATTTGGAGCATTCCATTGAAGGCCTGATAACCAACAGTCCTTCGGATAAACGCGCCTATCATACATGGAGCTCAAGCAGTAACCTGCTTGACAAGCCCCAAAGTGCCCCGTTCGATATTGGGCGCCATCCCATTCACAATATCAACCGTAAAACTGTTCAGATCCAGAATCCGGTTCATTCGGACCACTTTCATCATAACCTCATCGCACTGGCTACTCTCCGAGTATGTAGCAGCAGCGCCCCTAGCGGTAAACTCTGCCGCTTGACTGCTGTCGAGGTTTGCCAGACATCCGCTCTCAACCTTGCGAATCACCCGGGTGCAAAACTCCACTGACCTGTCCACCTCTGCCTGGGTCAGTTTCCCACCTGCATCAACCGTCCCTTGGATAATAGGCCGAAAATGGTCAAATGCCACTTTGAAGTTCGTTTCGTCCAGCCCGTTCAAAACGGCCTTTTCCCTGCCATGGATCTGCTCCATTGCACTGCGCACCACCAATAGGAACCGCGTGTAGGCCTCGCCAACTTTGCTCGAATGCCATTCACCAGCCTCCTCTTCCGTGCAGTCACCCCTGAGACTCGCGCAGATTGTCACTGCCGCTGACAGCCCACCCGTCATGGCAAGATGCACGCCCGACGAGAACAGCGGGTCGATAAAACAAGCCGCATCACCCGCAACACGTGTGAAGGGGTGTGCATACGTACTCGCACTGTACGACCAATCTGCCGCCGCCTTGATTTTCGAGGACACAAGTTCAGCACCACTTAACAGCAGCGCAATTCCCGGCGTTTCATGCAAACAAGCAAGAAAAAAGTCCTTGCTGGACACAGACCCATACGCCCGCTTCTTCTCTGCAACCCGGTCTTGCTTCAGCGTAACCCCAACAGAGACCGTGCCGTTATGTAAGGGGATAAACCAAGCCCACCCGCTCCCGTCTCTTACGGCCTCGGAGAACGGATCCCCTTCCCCTGGCCCATACGTGCCTGCACCCCGCCTAATTCCCCATAGTGCCATGCTCTGCAGCTGTTTGTTGTGGATCCGAGTCTTCATGTATCGATTGCTCATTAGGCCGGCACGCCCGGAAGCATCAACTAGATATTCGAAGTGGATTGTACCGGTGCTGCCGTCCTTTTTGCGGTTCCAGGTTGCGGACACGGGCCTTCTACTCAAGTCTTGGTCTTGGCCTTCTTGTTTGGTGTCGGTGTTGCTGATGGTTGGAGCGAAATCAAGAGCCTGCACTTTCACACCATCGAAGACAGTTGCGCCGCTCTGCTCGGCATGTCTGAATAGAATCTCGTCTGCTTCAGAGCGGAGGACGTTCCACGCATGGTTGCCTGCTCCACCAGCTCCGACAAAATCTGTATCTGCCAAAGCATTAGCCAAATACGTTGAAGCATCTCGAAGAACATGCACGGGACTTACAGCCCGGTTGCTTGGAATTGAATTTGAATGTTGCGCCATTCTATATTGTGAGTTCTACCTGTTAGTCGAAAAATAAGAGTACTGTGTAGGTACTTAAATGAGGGACGTGAAATAGATACCTTGCGCAGAAAACCGCCAGCGTTGAACTTGTTGTAACAGTCTATAAAATCCAGAAAATATCTCACCGAGGGCAGAAGATTTTCTCCAATATGGTACCGAGGGAACTCCTCTGCTTCCAGTACCACAGTGTCAATACCCTCTCGGGCCAGCACAGAGGCCGCATAGGAGCCCGCGGCCCCCCCCAATTACGAGGACTGTGCAGTTTTTGGGAATTGACATATTGGTAAATAGAAATGTGTCTTGCTCAGCGCAAGGTTACTTTGGCAGACATCGCCATTACCTGGGGTCAGGACAGGCTTTAGTAGCCTGACGGTCCACGAAGTTTGGGATATCTAATTCGTATCATCGCACTAGATACAAGCAATCCCGTCTCAATAATTGATCCACTGCCCTGCAGGAAAAGTCAATTACTCAATAGTACTGTCATCAGCTCCTGAGGTCGTTATGCCGAGTTGCGTAGTAGTATTTCATCTCGTTATAAAGGACATATCATCGAGATGCAAACGGCGGTGGTTCTCTGTCGACTACTAAATGAAACTCCGAACCGGCATTCTGGCAGCATACCAATGGATGTCATGGGGGTTACACAAGAGCGAAAGCAATGTTACGCAGATATTAAGTTTCGAAGATCTTTCCCCGAATCGAGAAACATAGGACCTGGGTTGCATAACCAACAAGATCATGGCAAGTGCATGACACAGGGAACGCTCTGCTAGACGGATTCAGAAGCACACGACTTGCGTAGTTACGTTGCACCTTGGTGTAGCGTGCACAGCTCTACGTGTCATATACTAAAATTCTAGGTGGTTCATGAAAGAGCCTGAGCCGTGGAGAAGTCTGCAGCCGGACGGCCGGACGGGCTTCTACATTCTTTCTCGGATATACCACTGCAAATGAGTCTTCCGCATTTTCACTCCGCATTTGCTTTGCAGAAACTGCTGCCTTATTCCACCAAGATACCTCGCGCACTAGCCCATTCGGCTGAGCATACACTTGACACACAGTGGTCCAGGCCGATGTACCTGTCTCCGGTGAGGGTAAGAGCATCAATTACCCTACCTACTGATCGAAAGGAAGTAGAACCGTCAGGTCCGCTGAGAAATTGTAGAAAGGCCCAGAGAATTTCGTAGCGTTGGGGTCACGAAGGGGTACCATAAGCCCTACCCTTTTCAGTGGATTGTTGTTCTAAACGTGCCATCCTCTACCGGCGGGGTTGGAGCCCGTAGAATGCGTCTCCCGAGGGGCTAGATACAAATCATGTGATTGGCTTGTACCGGTACAGGAATTGCTACTTTACAGAAGAGCGGTTTTGATAGGTTGGCCAAGGCCAGGATATCCCCGGTCATGCGGTTTATGCGCACTTGATTGCTCTTATCCAAAAGTTTTCGTGCGCGGGATGAGAATTACCTAAGGTATTACTTCAAAGCGGAATACCGATAGAAATAAGTGCCTAGCATCCATAAAGAAATGACAAAGACCGGTAGATAACGGAGCTGCTGAAGAATCCTTCGAAACTAAGTGTTGGGGTTGGCTCAGGAATGAGTTTCTACCGCGGCTTGACGAAGAGGAAGATTTCGAAGAGAAGAGGTTGCTAATCCATGCTTGGGACTTTGCATTGCATGATCAATGTGCTTAAAGCTCTAGAAGCAAAATTACTGTTTTTGGAGTATCCAAAGCCGGTGAGAATCCTATGCTCTCATGTTCTACCAAGAAGGCCACAGTTGTTGGAAGACCGATCAACTGCTTCATTGCCAGTATAGTCGGTGAAGCCACCAGCAACTTCAACATGGGGAAAATAATATTTCCAGCCAAAATTATACCATATCTTAATAGTGTGCGATACTACTGACAAGGGGAATTGTATAGTGAATTGTGCAAGATACTCATTTAATCTGATTATTTTACCCGGGGCACAGAGTACAAGTGTTGCTCTGGAAGGGATTTCGTAGGCAGCTTACGTCACATCAAAGAACAATGATTGTGGTAGCTTGGTTTCTGATGTTTAACTTCATTGTGAGACAGAATAAGTATCTGACAGCAGCAGCCGCGCACACAGCCCTATTATCGAACTGCCTCAGTGGAAAAAGGCAAAGAGAAAGAAACATGCATACGATAATTAGCAGGGACCTATCACGATTAACAGTCTGTGACAGTCTGTGATACTTTCTCGGCATTATCCAACGTGCAAAATCAAGCTTTACGCTAGCCTTGTCAGACCATGGTTTGTGGAGGTACGTTCGAGGAGTCGGGCTGTCATCATCTGAAATCTTGGTATCGCCGATAAATGTTACCCTTAATTCGGTCGAGTATGCCTGAACCATGAATGTTTCACAAACAGAATAAGGATACATTCTTGGCTTTCATGGTAAAAGTACTTAATTCGAACAATGTTCTCCCGCTGCTGGCACTAACCATAAATAGGATTTACCGTCTGCGAGCACACATCAGACGTCGAGGTACGTTTACTGTAAGACATCCCCGTGGCTTAAAACCATCGACCATTCCCGGCCGACTGTATGCATTTTGCGGCACCACAACAATGGAAATACGACGATGTGATGGCCTTTCTCCATTATTGCTACTTCTACTTTATGTGCTGACTACCGATGCGTGGATGGATGTAGGTATTGACTCTCTGGGAGGGGAATGTGGCTACCACAGTCGTCTTGGAATGCAGCATGAGCAGCAGCCATGACGCGTGGAATCTGCGTTATTGGACTTGATTTCATCTCGTTCCAGAATATGCTGACTGCTGCAGAAAAGCTGTATGACAGCGTAATCAGTCTTCGGCCGAGTTGCCCACGTCATTCCGAAGCAGCATGGTATTGACTGCAATCATGCCTTGAGGAAACCGGTAAGCAAGGGCATCATGAAGTACCCACGGTCCCATCCCTACGTGCCCAATACCGAGTAACCTACACCGCATAAGTGGTTGTGTAAGCGTGCAGAGTTGAGTCAGGGCTATAGCTCGGAACTATCTAAAAGGATGCAGGCAATGTAAGCTGATGCCCAGCTAGCTGAACTACAAAACAGTTGATTTCCCGCTTGCGCTTTACATGGTGGTTGGGAAGCGGGGAAGTCCTACGAGCCAATTGATGGTCTATGTAACCCCAATGTGCGTAGCTACGTTGGGGCAGGTGAACCGTACCATTGTATTGAGTTTGAAAATGCAGGCATTACGCCCATACCCGGGGTACACAAGGTGCATAAGTTGGCTCCTTGGATTGTCAAGAATGGTAGTATTTGTTGTTCGACCAGGGATCATTACTTCCCACGGCTGAATACTTACGTACCGCAGACATGATGCTTAGCATTTCGATGACAATGACTCGTCTACCTGCCTGAAAGCTAGTATCAGAACCTGTAGTCTGTCATGCTGGGCGTTTGCTGGGTGGTGGGGATTGCTAGCCATGGTATATGTACCAGAACTCTCAAGATTCAGGGTATGATACAAAGCCATTGACAGCAATGGTTCTGAAGGCAGCATAAAATTGTCGTGTAAGTCATCGGTGATAGTCACGATAGTACTCGCAAACCAATTAAAAAAGCCATCACGCTCATTGAGACCCTTGATATATGTGGTGCTACTGTGACAGTAACGACTTCCAAGGCTGATGCGTCGCTGTCTCCGACAGGCTACTGTCTTTTCATGACGTCTGTTTCGCCTGCAAACCCCGCATATTACTTGAGACCAGCTAGCCACAGGTGGCAGGAAGTAGATCTTGCCTGCGTCTATCACGGCTCTATTGAGCCTGCAAATATAGTCACGATTTAGGGAGAGTTGGCTGTATAAATAGTTCCTCTCTTATCCACCCGAGTTGAATTACCACATATCAATTTGGCATCTAGCCCACTCCTCATAGAACAAGCTTAGAAAGCCCTGAGTCAACTACCTGCAATCATGACCGGAATCATGAACTATCTCCGTCGGTCTCGAGCGACGGACTCGGGTATCGAGATGTCCGCTACTATCACAGCAAGCTCTTCATCGCCTAGTTGGGGTGTGATAGAACTTAAAGATTTACGCGACAAGGACAACAATCCTGTGGACTTTACCAAGGATGATTACCTTGGTATTGCATTGCTATCACCCGTCAAGGTCGAGGATACAGAGGTCAATGTTTCCACTGATCCCTGGTACGATTTCACATGTGAGGTTAGCAATTTCTCGAGCGGTAATGATGTCGAAGTCCTTGTGAAGATCACATTCAAGCCGAACTGGGATGGGGAAGCCGACAAGTTTCAAGTCAAAGATGTCCAGCTGGAAATGGCTGGCGATCCGCAAGATGAGCACTACAAGGACTCGGTGCGTCTGTGGAAGAATTCTCTGCCCGATGAAACCGGTACCGTCCCAATCGTGTGTGACAGTCGACCGGATGGGATTCCCTACTCCAACCAGACGGTGGTTTTCACAAACGATGATGGGATTATCATGAAAGAGGTGCCATTCGGTCAAAAGACTGAGGTCACCTTGAACCGGGGCAACTACGGAGTTGCTGCTACAGAAGTTTTCACAGACGATGAAACCACCGTTGCCACCGCAAAGGCTCAGCCAGACCAAGTGGAGGTCAAACAGGGGACTACAAGCTCAGATGTCAACGTTACGTACGATGTTCATCATTACAGCGCGACAGACGTTGTAATTGACAATATAGCCGGGCTCGAGGGAGAGGAAGTGCATGTCAAGTTCAGCAGCGAAGACAGTCTGCTCCATGATTTTTGGAGTTCTGTTCCACAGATCACAAAGCCACGTCGAGTACTCCCATCGGACGGCAACGCAACTATTAGCGTTGATTCAATCATCGTGAATAATGTTCAATATGAATTCACTCCGAAGCAGGTTGATTTATCAAGCAATGAATCTGTCTTGTTTACGGCTGGCGATGTGACTCAGCATCAGATAGAAGTCTCGGATGCCG